AGGTATACAAATACTCCAATATCTAAGATTTAATTCATAAGATTCATAAGATTTATTCATATTGCAAGTTGAGTTCTCTTTTAGGCACAAAAGTGTTACAGATATGAGTTTTCAGTCTTTAGACTGTTTTAGTAGCAAAGGTTAGCAGTTTGAATCCACCAGCTGCTCCCTGGAAACCCTATGGGGCAGTTCTCCTCTGTCCTGTAGGGTCGCTCTGAGTCCGAATCAACTCTATGGCAATGGGTTTTTTTAAAAATGGAAACAATGATATATTAGAATTTTCTGCCACCAAGTGGTAATAATGCTTCTTTGCACCATTGGGCGAGTTTTCCTTTACATACTATTTCTTTGTATTATTTAATTTTTAACAAATATATATTAAATACCTACTATATGGTGTAGTAGTTAAGAGCTATGTCTGCTAACCAAAAGGTTGGCAGTTCGAATCCACCAGCCTCTCCTCGGAAACCTTAGGGGTAGTTCTGCTGTGTCCTATAGGGTCGTCATGAGTTCAATCAACTCAATGATATTGGGTATGTATTAGATACTGATTAGAAATTTTTGCTGAAAAAATAATATATTTGCATCCAAAACTTGGTATTTCAGAATTAGAGCACAACTAGTCACATCAAAATGACCCAAATGAATTTATAGCTGCTCAGTCATATACCAAATGGCATAGTGGTTAAGAGCTCAGCTATTAACCAAAAGGTCGGTAGTTTGAATCCACCAGCTGCTCCTTGGAAACCCTATGGGGCAGTTCTACTCTGTCCTATAGGGTCACTATGAGTTGAAATCGACTCGATGGCAATGGATTTGTTTTTCATTTTTTTTGTAGCCATATACCAGTTAGTTTGCCCCCCCCCCCCCAAGGGCACATCTGGTAATGTCTGGAGATAGTTTGAGTTGTCACAACTCGGGGGAATGTGGGGGGTACTACTGGCATGTAGTGGACAGAGGCCAGGGATGCTGCTAAACATCTACAATGCAAAGGACAGCCTCCACAACAAAGAATTATCTGGCCCAAAATTAGTGTTGCAGTTGAGAAACTATGAATAAACTGTAGCTGTGATAATCGATACCTTAAAGTTTACAGTCTGGAAAAATCCACAATCGTACACATTCTCAAATTAATTTGTGACTTTTCTGCATCTGTTAATCTGTTATCTCTTGTGTGCTATCTGGTCTGTAAAATACTGCCTCATGCCTTAAAACCAATTCCCCGTTTCAACTCTATCCTTACCATGTGGTTGAGCTGCAATCAACTGGTTCATAAACCCAGATAGTAAACATCTTGTATAGCAAGGTGTCTAGCAACTAAGCAAAAGTCCATCAGCTACCAAAAAGCACCCCTGCCTTCATTCATTCATTTCACCAACCAGCATGTTTTAAGCACTTCCGTATTCCAGGCAGTACTAGCACTAGGGACACTGGGATGAACTAAACGAAGTCCCTCCTCACGTGGAACCTAGGGGAATATAGACAATAAACATATACCCAGACCGGTGAACAAAATAATCATTGACTGTCACGTGTGTTATGAAGGAAACAAAAGGCCTAGCTTCCTCAAGATTAACAAAGAAAATCTGTTTTACATGGATTGGGCAGGGATAGCCTCCAGAGGTGTAGCAAGGGTATCGAGCACCCAGGGGCAATCTCTAAATTATGCCCCCCCTTCAATTCAAGTGTCCAGGGGTAATCTCTAAATTGCCCCCCCCCCCACAATTTGAGTGCCTGGTGGTAATCTCTAAATTGCAGCCCCTACCCCCCAATTTCAAGATGAATAGATGTTGATAGCTACAAGACATCAGCAGAAAGGCTTTCCCCCCTCTTGTCTGGCTGCCTCACTCAGGTGCCTTTTTTATTGGTGGCGCCTGGCAATGTTACTCAGTGCCCCATTGGGTGCCCCCTTGGACTTACATCCGGGGGCAAGTACCTCCCTCTGTCTGTCCCCCATGCATTTAGCCTCTCTGCAGAGCTAAAATCCAGAGGATGAGACCCAACAAGGCAGCCAGGCAAAAGCCTAGGAAAAGAATGTTTCAGGAATTCAGAACAGCAAACACAAAGGCCTTAAATTAGAAAAGATCAAATGGAAGAAGATCTGTGTGACTGGAGGTAGCACATTAGTAAAATATTAGGTTAAAAAAAAAAAAGGATTATCTCCATAGGCATATGTGTTTTGAAGCCAACTTAACTGGTGCTGATTGGCATATCCGAATATTAAAGACTGCTAATTAGCCTTCAGAAAAATTCCAAAGAAGCATAATTTCTCACTTTTCTATTTCTATAAACACTTTTTGGATGTAATGAATGATTAGAGATATCAGGTATCAGATTACAGATTTGCAGTCATGAGGTCATGAATACACGGTAAATTAAAGGTATAATCCACAAATAATGCCTTTGCTAGACTCTGTCCCTATGGTTATGAACCTGTCCTCACTCTCCTTGCTGTATCATAACATCTGGGGGATGCATGTGAGTTCAAACCTGGTCCTCATTTTTAATGAAGGCCTTAAGGCATAAATCATAGTTTAAAAGCCAGGGTTCCCATTATATGATTTAAAATATGATGCTGAAGTTTGCATACGTTTCACAGATTTATAAATTAGTAGAGCTTAAAGGACTATAGAGGTCAACTAGACCACTCCCTTCATTGTCAGAAAAGATTATAGAAAGTTTAAGCATCTTGCCTAGTGTTTCATCCACGTCTCCAGTTTTCCATCAAGTGCTCTTTTTGAGAACCAAAACCAAAACCAAACCCATTACCACTGAGTTAATTCCAACTCATAGCGACCCTATAGGACAGAGTAGAACTGCCCCATAAGGTTTCCAAGACTATAAATCTTTACAAAAGCAAACTGCCACATCCTTCTCCCATGGAGCAGCTAGTGAGTTTGAACCGCCGACCTTTCGGTTAGCAGCTAAGCGCTCAACCATTGTGCCACCAGGCCTCCTTTGAGAACCAATCCTGTTGCTTCCTTTAATTTGGTGAATTGTACAGTTTGATTCTGACAATTTTTCGAGTCCAAATAAGAAAGAACATACGGACATTTTGCTGACAGTTTTAAAGGGTGGTAAAATAAAAAGGTAAATAGCTACATGAGAAAGAAGGATATCTGAACAATATTTTGAAAGTTGTATATTGTTTTTATGGATCTTATCAGCCTTGTGCTATTTTCCCTATTATTAGAACTGAGTTAGACTATAATTGTTTATGTTCCCAATTGAAGATCCAGAACGTGGTACAGCACCTTATATAGAGAAAACCAAAAACCCACTGCAGTCAACCCACTGATTCTGATTCATAACGACCCTATAGGACAGAGTAGAACTACCCCTTAGGGTTTCTGAGGCTGTAACTCTTTACAGGAGCAGATTGCCACATCTTTCTCCGGTGGAGCAACTGGTGGGTTCGAACCGCAGATGTTTTGATTAGCATCCCAGGGATCAACCACTGCACCACCAGGGCTCCTCTTGTGTAGAGAGGGCACTCAGTAAATAGTTGTTAAATGGATGAATGAGTGCTTTAATGAGCTGTCTTAATTCAGCATGTGGCCATTTAAAGCATCAAGACATTGAAGTTAAGCAAGGATTTTAACTGAGCCTCACTGAGCTTTACATAAACATAAATGGTACCATTGTTGTATACCATGCAGTCGATTCTGACTCATAGTGACCCTATAGGACAGAGTAGAACTGCCCCATAGGGTTTCCTAGGCTGTAATCTGCTGGGCTGATTGCCAGGTCTTTTCTCCCAGAGAGTGGCTACTGGGTTGGAACTGCCAGGAACTGTAGATCGTGACTACCTTTGAATGCAGTCTTGAAGCATTTCTTCCCATGGAAGACAGTTGTGCTACCTAATTAAATGTACTCTTGAGGCATTTATGGAGTCCCTGGGTGGCAAAAATGGTTACGCTCTTGACTACTAGTCAAAAGGTTGGTGGTTTTAACCCACCCAGATGCACTTCAGAAGATAGGCCAGGCGATCTGCTTCTGAAGGGTCACGGCCTTGAAAACCTTATGGAGCAGTTCTACTCTGCACACATGGGGTGGACATGAGCTGGAATCGACTCAATGGCAACTAAGAGTAACAGAGGCATTTGTACCAAAAACATATAAATTTGGAGCTGCTCTGTTTTGCTCAGGCTCTCCTATTTACTTCTGTTTAAAACTCATTTTTCCCTTTAGGAAATGAATTTTAATGTCTTCTCAGAATGTTAACATACTATATTACTACCTTTACTGAAGATTGCTTTAATTCTTTATTTGCCTGTTCACGCATATATATTATATGGAAAGGGCTGTCCAAACGGAATCCTGTACATATCCTAAAAATCAAATGAATTCATTAGTGCTTTGCTGGCACCTGAATTCTATCTTACAATCAAGTCTTAGTCTGGTGTTTATTCAGAATTGCCTTCAGACTCTACTGTAGGTGTGGCTGTTGAACCCTCATCAACAGCACTCCTGAGATCACCACCTTCTCAACTCATTGCCTCTCCTTCTCCCTTTACCCTCTACCTCTAGGAAGGGCAAATCATCACTCTCATGTCACCATGACTGAAGGCACAAAATCTAAGAGACTCCTTAGACAACCTCTAATAGCCATTGAAAGATTGAACACAACTAAAGTGCCACTGGTTTGACAGAATGTTAAATGAGTTAAGCTAAAGTGGCATTAAATAGATAGATGAGACTATTTTATTTACATGTATATGATATTTATTAGTTCTATATACAACACTGGAGCCCTGGTGGCACAGTGGTTAAGAGCTGCAGCTGCTAACCAAAAGGTTGGCAGTTCGAATCCACCAGCTGCTCCTTGGAAACCCTATTGGGACTCTGTTTTGTAGGGTCGCTATGAGTCAGAATCAACTCGATGGCAATGGCTTTGGTTTATATATAGATATAGATATATAAAAACACTAATAAATAATCTTATTACATTATCTGAAATGAATATTAAATAAGAATTTCTAATTCTTCTTAAATTACAGCTTGGACACAGTAAGCAATCTAGTATAAGGAGCTCGGAAGATTTCCATTTAAATAGCTTCAATAATCCTCCAAGACAATATCAGGTAAGCATGACATTTTAAAGAAATAAGGCTAGTTATTTGTAGTTTTTATATTTTCAAATTGTGTAATTCTTTAAATAAAAATGAATTAGTAGGATTTTTCTGGATCTCAAAATAATACTTTAATTCACTAAATATGTATTAAGTAAATACCATGTGCCAGGTACTTTCTAGGTGAAGAAGATACATAAGTAAACAAAATCGACGAAGTCTTGGCATCATGGAGCTTAGAGTTTACATGCTCATTGTAAAATGTCTAACCCTACCAAAACATCATAAAGAAGAGAGTGAAATTCACCTCAAATCTCACCATTCAAAGACTGTTTACTTTTGGTGGATTATATGTATGTGTATCATTTTACGTACATTTTATATATGCACATTTATATTTACATACATAAATTTAATCTATCAAGTCCCTGGGTGGTGCAAATGGTTAAGTACTCAACTATTAACTGAAAGGACCTTGAAAGAAAGGCTTGGCTGTCTATTTCCAAAAGATCACAGCCATTGAAAACCCTACTAAGCACATTTCTACTCTGAAACACATAGGATTGCCATGAGTTGGAATTGACTTGATGGCAACTGATCTGATTTTTTTTTAATTTAATATATACATTAAGTACTGTAAATGTGTATGTAATCTTACATAAATGAGTTAATAGTACTGATATAATGAGTAATAGTTTTGTAGCCTGTGTTTTTAACTCCACAAAATATATATTCATATTTTAATCAATGTATAGTATTCCTTCATATAAATATATGATAATTAAAATACTTCCCTATTAATGGATATTTAGAGATTTTTTTCTACTATTATAAGTAGTACTACCATTAATATGGAGCTCTGAGGGCACAGTGGTTAAGCATTCGGCTGCTAACCAAAAGGTCGGCAGTTTGAATCCACCAGGCAGTCCTTGGAAACGAGATTCTGCTCTGTCCTATAGGGTCGCTATCAGTCGGAATTGACTCAATGGTAACAGGTTTGGTTTCAGGTTTTTGGTACCATGAATATACTTGTCCATCTATCCATTTATCTCCTTAGAATAAGTTCCTGGAAGTGGAGTTTTACTGCCCACCTTTTAATTTTTGGGCTTAGGTGGTAAGATTTGGTTTGGTTATATAATCATCCAGAATGTCCTGAGTACGTGCTGAGCCTCCAACTTACCATGAAAAGTACTGTGCAGTTGATTCCCTTTATTCGTGGTAGTTATGTTCTATAAAGTTGCTCCACACTTTGAATTAACGAATACTGAACCATTGCTCTAGGGGAAGGACAAGTTTAGGTTCCTAAGAGCCTCTAGTCACATTTTCATCAACCAACCAAAACATAACCTTATTTTATGTGTGTTTCTGTTTAAAGACACCTTATTTAATATATACGGTCATTTCATCAACATTGAATTCACAGCCTGTAGCTCATGCCTGATCAAAGCTTATCTAACACAGGTTGTTTTTTCTGTAAGGCATATCACAACCTTCTTGCATTTAGGAACTCTAAACAGCATTTCAGTACTATGCTTGGGGCCTTTTTAAGCAAGGTTATCACCTACAAACAGAACAAAACTGCACAAAATGTGGCATTAAACAGACTGTGTCACGGATTGAATTGTGTCCCCCCAAAAATATCTGTTAACTTGACTAGGTCATGATTCCCAGTACTGTATGATTGTTGACCATTTTGTCATCTGATGTGATTTCCCTTTGTGTTGTAAACCCTATCACTGTGATGTTAATCAGATAGATTAGCAGCAGTTATGTTGATGAGATCTACAAGCTAGGATAGTGTCTTAAGCCAATCTCTTTTGAGATATAAAAGAGAGAAGTGAGCAGAGAGACAGGGGAACCTTGTACCACCAAGAAAGCTGCGCTGGGAGCACAGCACATCCTTTGGACCCAGGGTCCTGCATGGAGAAGCTCCTAGTCCAGGAGAAGATTGATGACAAGGACCTTCCTCCAGAGCTGACAGAGAAAGCCTTTCCCTGGAGCTGAAACCCTGAGTTTGGACTGGTCACCTACTAGACTGTGAGAGAATAAATTTCTCTTTGTTAAAGCCATCCACTTGTGGTATTTCTTTTAAGCAGCACTAGATAACTAAGACAGACTGCAAAAAGGATCTTTGTCTTCAGTATGAGAACTGAAACAAGAAGGCCAAGCGTCACCTTGTTTGACCTGAGCTGGGAATGTGCACGTATGGCCACTCAAATTTTTGGCCACTGTGTGCATTTTTGGGGAAGGATAATTAAAAACAAAATCTCTTGCCAACCCATATAAACTCTTCACAAAAGTAGAAGAGAAAAAAATAGTTTTATTATTGAGCAAGCATTAAACCAGAATGTGATGTGTATCACAGGTAATCTGCCAAAGAGATTGCAAAGACAGGAATTTTATCCTTTTATACAGTCGAGCAGCTGTAACCCATTTCATAGATTTTCTCAAGAGAAACAGTTACTGTTGTTAGCTGCCATCAAGTCGACCCTAACTCATGCTACCGCACGCACAATAGAGCAAAACCCTGCCAGGTCCTGCACCATCCCCATGATCAGTTGTAGAATGGACTGTGATAATGCATAGGGTTCTCACTGTCGGATTTTTGGAAATAGATCACCAGTCCTTTCTTCCTGGTCTTAGTCTGGAAACTTCACTGAAACCTGTTCAACATCATAGCAACACACAAGCCTCCACTGACAGATGGGTAGTGGCTGCTCATGAGATGAATTGGTCAGGAATTGAACTCAACTATTCTACATGGAAGGCGACAATTCTACCTCTGAACTTTTACTAGTCCTCAAGTAAGAGAACTTGACAGAACCGTTTATCGTTTGTAGTTCATCTTAAATTCACCTGGTAATTGGGATAGCCACGTGGGCTTGCTAATGGCCTTTATCCACAGGACAAAAAGAAGTTAATTCCTCACATCTTTATGACTAGAGGTAGGTTTGTAACTTGAAACCAAGAGCCTACTGAAGTTAGGCTTCTATCCTCCCAGGAAACTGGGAGATATGGATGCTTCTTCCTTAACTGATTACATTTCAAAGAGATGACTTCCAGGACTTTGAGGAAGCATTCCTGGGTTGTAAAATTGGCAAGAGGCTTACTTAGATTTTAAAAAGATTTGCGTACATTTCAGAGAGGCAGAGAAAGAAGTTACAATTTTTCTACATTTAAATGCTCTAAGAAAAGGGAGAGAAGGTGAAATCTCCTCCCTTTTGTTCAACAGGGAAAATCATGCCTCTCTCTTTTCCTTTCTTACTTCTAATTTGTATTTGCCCTTACAGCATGTCTGCGAACGACTAAGAAAGTGATGCAAGTATTGATTTTGGGGGTTACAAGTAAACTTTACTGAGTAGGTGAATTTGCAGATGCAGAATCCATGAATAATGAGGATCGATTGTATATAGTAAAAGCCACATGTATGCGGAGAAATTTTATTACTTTCAAACTAGCCATTCCAAAATTATTAGTAAGTTTAAAATCAAAAGTAAGTATACATGTTGGTGAGGGGAGAACAAAAATGTGCACATTTGACTAATTTCTCGCCTCCACATGCAGTATTGGAAGGCCATGTATTGTTCTACTACTTTTCAAATAAAATACACGCAATGGACATAGAAGATTAGATGTTTGCTTTAAAATGATTATTTTTCTCAAAAATTAACTTTTGAGTCATTGGCCCAGGTGATGTGAAAATTGCACTAAAAAGAAAAAACTTGTAGACATTATATATTCTCTGCCAGCTAAATCATCTTAATCTTTGATAGTCATCACTCCCAAAGTGCTTACCAAAAGGCGGATGACTCAGACTTACTCCAAATGAGAGATCTGTCATGTGTTAAAAATTTGTATAGATCAAGAGTTAACGTGGCTTCCCTGGGCCAAGAGCCAAATAAAAATTAGTCATAAAGCCATTTGCAAGAAACAAAAATTTTACGCAGAATTGAAATTTAGGCAAGTTTTCCTTATCAGCATGGGTTAGCAACACTCATCCAATCAACATAAACCAGCTTAGCCTTCAGGGGCCAACTTTCCCAAAGCAAAAGGAAAATTAAATGTGATTAACAATCAAAGCATAGGGCAAGATACTTGCTCATCTAAGCTTTAAAAGCGCATTGTAACTGTATAAACTTGCACCCCTTCGCCATTTCCAGTTTGGGGTGCTCCGTCTTTGAGAGCAGTTTCTTCATCAATAAACCTTGTTTACTCTAATTGACTCATTGATCAAATTGTTTTCTTTTGACACATTGAGAGTAACACTGAGCTGGATTTCTCGTTTCTCTGTCTAGAAAATAATGAAGAGGCTCATTAAAAGATACGTACTGAAAGCCCAGATAGATAAGGAGAGTGATGAAGTGAATGAAGGTGAGTTGAACACAGGGACAAGTAGGCCCCTAAGAGTGAGCCAGATTATCCGGCCTGATGCAGAGCTGGAGGAGAGCTGGAGAGATGAGTGTGGAAGGGTGAGCTTCAAGGGGAAGGGAAGAATGGACATCATCAACCATTAATACCGTTAAATACTAGGGAACAGGCTGTTTCTCCACAGTTGGGGCAGAGGTCACTTGCTAGGTAAATAACTATTGTTTTTGTTGGGGGGGGGTGGGGCTCCTAGGGAAAAGAATGTGATTGAGAAGACAAGGGACTGCTGGCCCAACCGTGCAACATTCACCACTAACATTTCCCTTTCACTTACTTTGGGAGGACTTTCATTGTAACTTGTTTTATAATCTCTTCATTCACTGATATACTTCACTGAGAAAATAGAAACCTGCTCCATTAGGAAGATAATTCCTTTGAAAGGTGTGTGTGCAATTAGGACTGTTTCAACCTATCCTAGAATTACCAGTGTCTATGCATTACGTGGAGCCCTGGTGGTGTAGTGGTTAAGAAGTCTACTGCTAACCAAAAGGTAGGCAGTTCAAATCCGTCAGCTGCTCCTTTGAAACGCTATGGGGCAGTTCTACTCTGTCCTGTAGGGTCTCTATGAGTCAGAACCCACTCAATCGCACCTAACAACAACATACATTATGTATTATTTGACTTCTTATTGCTCTTGTTTTTCAAAGGAGAACTGAAGGAAATTAAACAGGACATCTCAAGTCTGCGCTATGAACTCCTTGAAGAAAAATCTCACAATACAGAAGACTTAGCAGAACTTATTAGAAAACTTGGGGAGAAATTATCAATGGAACCACATCAAGAAGAAAGCAACAGATAATGCAAAGACTTCCTTAGAAATTCATATTTATTTGTCCACTTGAAGCCATATTATTTTCAGATTTATTTTTTTAAGTACCAATATGCCCTCCTTTTCAACAAGGAAAAGTTGAGATAACTTGGGTCATTCTATCATACTGAACGCTAATATTCAATATTTTTGGTGATTAAATTTCATTGTTCAGGTGAAAGTTTGCAGACTGTGATGAGAATTATGACCATTTGTTTGGTGCTTGTTTTATAAGCTGCTTTCTCGGATGTAACTATCGTGATGATGTCATTGCCTCGTAGCATAGGCCTCGGAATCTTCTCTGCTCATAGGCAGACCCAGCGCTCCCTGTGTGGTACTTCTCCTGAAGGTGATTTCAGGCACCTTCTTGCCTGCTCCGTGGGTCTTCTGCTGGTGACTTCTAGCCCTGAAATTTGGGGAAAAAATAATCTATGGCTGATCAGAGAATGTGGTTTAATCACCTTTCCTGCTTAGCCCCCAAATAATGTGATTCTTGTGTGCAAAAATGGGCTTAAATTTTTCCCAAATTTTCTGGTTCATCCCTTTGAAAACATTACACTGAACAGTGAAAAAGTATTTCCCCACTTAACCCTGGAAATTTGTTCCGGTTGTGGGTGTCTGTGCACGTGTGCGCGCGTGTGCATGAAATGTTTGCAGCTAATGTGGACACGTGAAAGCTCTTTGTTAAAATTTTTTATAGTAACTGAAAAGGTACTGGAGAAGTAAGAGCCCTTTATTGGAGATGTATCAAAGGCACAAAAAAAAAAAAAAATGTGGCTGTTTGGGCCAATCATAGCACAATTTTGTGCCATTTGGGCATTGGCAGATGTATTCTCACATGTGGCTATTGAACGTAAAGAGGGAAAAATAAAAGTATGGGAACTAGCAATAATTATCTCCCTCTCTCAGTATGTTCTAAACCCCTCCCAAAGTATAAAAAATAGGAATTTGCATTCCTGAGCATTTGTCAAGAGGGTGTTGTTACTTTCTGATGATGTGAGGCAATATCTGAAACATCTAAGAGAGAAATGAAGTTTCATCTGTTCAACTGCCCAAAGACTATCGAATTTAGATGATGCTGGTCATTATCTGGAAACCCTAGTGGCGTGGTGGTTAAGAGCTACAGCTGCTAACCAAAAGGTCAGCAGTTTGGATCCACCAGGCTCTCCTTGGAAACCGTATGGGGCAGTTCTACTCTGTCCTGTAGGGTCGCTATGAGTCGGAATCGACTCAACAGCAACGGGTTTTTAATGGGCGTTACCTGAAAGTGCTGCTTTAAATTCAACAAAGAGAGGCTTTGAATGCAAATTTTTAGCTTCATTTTAAAGACTAACTGGCCACAGAAAGTCCTTTTAGCCTCAACCTTGACTTAGTTTAAATCAAAGAACCTTTATGTAACCAGATCAGAAAATATGGCTGGAAGTTTTTATTCAGCAATTTTGTTTTTGTGGGTATTGCTTATTGGGAAGTTACTTACTGAGGCAGGGAAGGTCTGTTTGCAAATGTTTTGTGACAATATTTGAATCAGAAGTTGTAAAAATCACCCTCATACCAAATGCACTTTCAGAAAATTAATATAACCGAACATTCACAAAATCTGTGTCCTGTGCCATACAAGAGCTTTGCCTTCATGCCGAGGACAATTCTATGATAGCACATGGGCTCGATCCAAAATATTCTAGAAGAGATATTCAGATCCCTGGGTGTCTTTTTTAAGTTGGATTGACTTGACAAGTTATGAAGCTTAGGGAAATGTCAAGGCATGACCATGAGTTCTTCAGTAAAGGGCAATACCCTACAAGATACCTGTTATTGTTCAAAATCAGTATGCCCTGAAGTCAATGAATTTTCCTCAAAGTGCAGCTGAGATGGCATCCCCTAATCTTACTTTAATTGGAAGATGAAAGAGAATCCATCATATTTGAAGGAAGGTTTTTAAAATTCCAACAAGAGCTTAATAAAGCATATTGTCAAAGGATGGTCGTAAGCATCATAAAAGTCTCAAAACACTGGCTTTAAAGCCTGTATTCACGTCACAGTTTAACCTTTTGAGTAAGGTGATTAATAAGTTGAAATGTATTTATCCAAATTGTTCCCTTTGTCATATTTCTCTCTTCAGATTTGATGCTGATATTTTCTAGGTTTAGGTACTAAGAGAAGGACAGAACAGGAATGTCTGGTGGTCACCCTGACTACACAGCTGCTTCCTGCGAGGCCAGTCCTGCCCTCTCCTCACTGCAGACCCATCACCAATGAACTAAACTTAAGTGTCCTTGTCTTTGTACAGCAATGCCTGGTTTTACTCTTTGCTGCTCTCATTACTCTGAACCTAAGAAATAGCCAAATTCAAATTGATTTTACTAGGTCCAGAAAATGAATTACAGCATCTACTATTATTGCCTCAAAAATTTGCCAGAGACTGAAAAGGGTAGAAAATGAGTGTCAGACCTCAAGGAATTTGCAACCAAGTGGAGGAATAGGACTTCATACAACTATTAAGAAACGTTTTCTGAGCACCTGCCATGTGCCAGGCACTGTGAGGTGAGCTTTCCATGCATTATCTAATTAAAGTTAATCCTTACAACAACCGCACAAGATAGGTACTATTATTATCCCCATTTTAGAAATGAGAAAACTATGGATTTTAGAGGCTAAGTAACTTACAAAAAGTGTCAGAGCCAGGAATGAAGCCCAGGCCCACATCACTGCAGAGGCCTCACCCTTACCTGTGGTCTTGACCGGCCATATTGCAGGGTGGTTATCTTGTTATGCAGCTTATGTTTCTAACACCCTAAGTTCTGTGTTACATGTCAAGTGCAGAAAGAGACAATAGCATTGATCAAGGAAGTCTGTGGATAAAGAGAAGATTTGACTTCAGGAGGATTACAAATTTAAAAAAAAAAAAAAAAGAATAAGAGATGGAGATGTATATTTAGGGTTGGGGACAGTATGAGCAAGGTCAAGCATTGGGCATGAATATGGGCCCTGGAGGAGCTCCTGAGAAAGAAGAAGTTAACTCAAAGGCTGTGGCTCAGTGAGGAGAACAGATTGACTCAGGAGCAAATGTTTTGATTTTATTTGAGCAGCCTATCCTACCCATCTAGGATGATTCTGCTAAGAAAGGACCTTATCACTATGTGAATAGTGAAAACAAACCAAACTCTCAATTAAAATGGAGAGACTGTATGTCGGTATTTGCCAATCAGGCAGACTAACTGACCAGTTCCCTAGTATAATCCCTGCCAGGACCAATTTCTAGCTTCAAGCCAAAGAAGACACCAGCCACAGATGATGTTTCTTCAAGTAGCAGCTTCTAAGCATGGCCCACATCACTCCTGATTCTAAGGAGCAATATAGTCTTCATCTTTACTCTGAAATCTCCCTTCATCATTGTGTACCAAGCAGGTGTTATGAGAGCCATGCTAGTCATCCCACAGCTCGGTTGATTGGTGCTGGATCTGAGTTCCTACACTTTGTCTACAGTCTGTGCACTTTGCTGTAGAGAGCACAGGTTGAATCAATGGAGAAGCAGAGAAGAGTATGAATTCTTGATCCAGAGTCCTGTTTTGTACTCAGGAGTCCTGTTGCACTCTTGTGTTGTACTCAATTAGGTTTCCAAGTGAGCAAGTCAATCAAAGGCTGTGTGTAAGTGTAACCAGCATCCTAAACTGGATGGAAGTTGAAACACCAGCTGAACATCAGTTGTTGTGCAAACGCTGATGCATAGTCTGAGTCTTTACTTTTACATGTAAAGAGCTGAGATGAGAGGAACACCATGAACTCGCTGAAAGACGTGGGTAATTAAGGTAAATGCATCTTTCTTTTCTTGAATCATTAGAATGATTGCTTGAATTATCTCCTTGACTCTGTGTTTATAGCTACAGCTGTAAATATTTCCACATTCTATACTTTTTAAAATACTTCCCCAGGATGAATTTCATTATAATACTTATTCACAAGTCACAAAAAGCTTTCATTTAGAATCAGTTTTTCCAGAGATTTTTATAAAACTGAATAATTAAATAGATTGAGACCTGGTCAACTATATAGTAGGTTTTTTATTTTTTAATATTAGTGCCATTTGATGCATAATCAATTTATCTAGTATTAACGTATCAGAGGAATTTTGACTCATGTTTTTCAAACTTTCATGGAAATGACATCGAATAGTCAGCTTATTCGGTGATAAAGGTGATTATACCTACTCAGAAGATCATATATTCATAATAGTCATAATACTTCCTAAGTACAATGTTACCTGGAACCAAAAACCAGGAGAAACTTTCTTCTTTTCTAATGCCCATTCTGAAAGTCACATAGCTTTTATAATTGTCCATTGATAAGCGGTAGGGACAGACTGTAAAGGGTGGTTGGATAGGCATGTCCTTGAGGAAATGCGCCGAACAACATGAATGTTTTTCTAAATCATGAGAAAATCTTGATGATGACATTCATGAAGTGTATCTTCGAACTTCACCGCCCTGCATTTTTGTCCTAATTATCGCCCATGAAAATAGGCTCTCACATCACCATAAGAACAATTTCTTCAGAATAAAGTACACTTAGTATCATGTCTCAGGCTAAAAGAACTATGGCATTGCTGTGCTTCTGCCTTAACCTTTTCAATATTCTGTGATTCAGCCAGCTGACATTTATCCTTCACTTTCTTCAGAAAATGGACAATTCCTGAGAGTCATTGGAAAAGGTCAAATTTTACCATGTTTTCTTGTATTTCCCAAAATGTTAACACGTCATATTGTTACTCCTATTTGTTAATATGTAGCAGAATACACACAACACACAAATACACATATATACTGCCATTATAAATGTATATATACACTATGCTATGTATTCTATACATATATACACAAACACACACATATAACATGATCAAAGACATTTTTCAAAGCATAGCAATGATCCTAGGGAAAAAAATCACATTTATAAGTATTGATTTTTCCTGTTTCTTTTCCCACTTGTCCTTTTTTTTCTTTTTTTTTCTTTCCTTTTCAATAATTTCACCCTTTTTCTAGTTCCTATATGTTATCTGGAGCCCTGATGGTGCAGTGGTTAAGAACTCAGCTGCTAACCAAAAGGCCAGCAGTGTGACTCCACCAGCCACTCCTTGGAAACTCCGTGGCGTAGTTCTACTCTGTCCTATAAGGTCTCTATGAGCCAGAATCGACTCAACGGCACCTAACAACAACAACAACAACATGTGTTATCTACCTCTCCTCCAAGTTCTCTTTAGCCTAGTGGTTCAGAGTACAGGTCTGGAGCCAGAACATGTGGGTTTGAATCCCAACTCTGACCATTACTGGCTGTGCATTATTTACCAAGTTTCTTAACTTTTCTAGACCTATTATCCCAATTCCACAGATGAAAAAACTAACATCAACTCCTCCATAGAATTTTTGTGAGAATAAAAGGAATTAATACATTTTAGGCACTTAGAAGAATACTTGGCACATACTAAGCATTTAGTTAATGTTAGCAATTGTAGAGAAAAGATGTGGCTTCAAAATTCCCTTTTCCAGGCATTCGACAAAGTCCAACACCCATTCCTGATAAAAACTCTCAATAAAATAGGTACAGAAGGGAAATTTCTCAACATAATAAAGGGCATCTATGCAAAACCAATGGCCAACATCATTCTTAATGGAGAGAGGCTAAAAACATCCCCCTTGAGAACAGGAACAAGACAAGGATGCCCTTTATCACCACTCCTATTTAACATTGCGCTAGAAGTCCTAGCTAGAGCAATAAGGCAAGCAAAAGAAATAAAGGGTGTCCAAACTGGTAACAAAGAAGTTAAACTGTCCCTATTTGTGGATGATATGATACTATACATAGAAAACCCAAAAGACTCCATGAGAAAACTACTGGAACTAATAGATTCAGCAGAGTAGCAGGAGACAAGATAAATATACAAAAATCGGTTGGATTCCTATACACCGATAAAGAAAATGATGAAAAGGAAATCAGGAAAACAATACCATTTATAATAGACCCTAAAAAAAAAAAAAAACTTAGGAATAAATCTAACCAGGGGTGTAAAAGACCTATACAAAGAAAACTACAAAACACAACTGTAAGAAACACAAAGGGATCTACATAAATGGAAAACGTATCATGCTCACGGATAGGTAGACTCAACATTGTGAAAATGACAATTCTACCCAAAGCAATTTACAAATACAAGGCAATCCCGATCCAAATACCAACAACAGTCTATTTAAAGAGATGTAAAAACTAATCATTAGCTTTATCTGGAAGGGGAGAAGCCCCAGATAAGTAAAGCACTACTGAAGAAGAAGAATAAAGTAGGAGGACTCGCACTGCCTGACCTCAGAATATACTACACAGCTACAGTATCAAAACAGCCTGGTACTGGTACAATGACAGATACATTGACCAATGGAACAGAATTGAGATCCCAGATGTAAATCCATCCACCTGCTGTCACCTGATCTTTGACAAGGGCCCAAAATCCATCAAATGGGGAAAAGACAGTCTTTTTAATAAATGAGGCTGGCAAAACTGGATATCCATCTGCAAAAAAGTGAAAGAGGACCCATACCTCACACGATATACAAAAACTAATTCTAAATGGATCAAAGACCTAAATATAAAGCCAAAAACTATAAAGTTCATAGAAGAAAAAATGAGATCAATGCTAGAGGCCCTAATACATGGCATTAACAGGATACAAACAATAAGCAACAACACACAAACTCCAGAAGACAAGCTAGATAACTGGGATCTTCTAAAAATTAAACACTTATGCTCATCAAAAGACTTCACCAGAAGAGTAAAAAGAGAACCTACAGACTGGGAAAAAAATTTTGGCCGTTACAAGTCAAACAAAGATCTAATCTCTAAAATCTACAAGAAAATCCAACACTTCTACAACAAAAAGGCAGAAAATCCAATTAAAAAATGGGCAAAGGAAATGAACAGACACTTCAC